TAAATATATATATTTATAGAGCTGCTTTATATATATTTATATATTTCATTTTCTCACTAATTCTTCAATTTCAGATCATCTTTTTGGGATTACTTTTCTGCTTCTTGAACATCACACTTTGGCTGTTTCTTAAATGAAGGTAAGAGTACGAACTGATCCAACTGTTATCTTTTATTGCTTGCATTGGTAATGAGAACTTGGAGAATTAAATCTGTTTACAGGTCCTCTTGAATGTTAGATCAACTTCTGCATGGTGACCTCTTGTCATGAAAGAATATTGCTTATCTTAATGTATGGTATCTTGAGCCTAAATAAGATGTTTTTTTCCCTTGAGAGAAATTCATATCTGTTTCTTGCATGGCCTGTAGGGAACTATACAGTACTTAAGCCCTCTTTCTGTGCTTTAAGACAGAGTCTCAGATTCAGATCTCTCTCCTTGTTTGTAAAGCCAAAGCAAACTACATATGGCAGTATTGCTAGTGACATTTGCCCTCACATAACAGGGGTCACTCTGTATGCTAACTATAGGATTCACTAATACCAATTAGGATGGGGAAAGTTAGAGGTGTGGTTCTTGGAGATTTCTTAAGCCTAACCAATGTATTCAAAGTAGATTTTATTCAAGAGATAGTAGTTTTACAGTATCTAATCTAACATATTGTTGGAAGCAAAAGTCTTATTTAATATATTTAAAGTTACAGTACACTAACTTGAGAAACTATGATTTATATCAGTCCTTATAGACTCAAGGCCTCCTTGTATGGCACTGTAGGAGAACTGGACTGTGAAACAGAAGGTTGGCAGTTCAAACCCACCAGCTGCTCCTTGGAAACCCTATACAGAGTCGCTGAGTCAGAATCAACTTAGCAGCACTTAACAATCAAGTTTCTCTGGAAGAGTTGCCTAATCCTTTGTAATAATACACATAGCTTAAAATTGCATGCATACTACAAAAGTCCCAAAGTACGAATTTATCCAAATTGTTGCCCCACTTTGTAGAAATTTCTTCTGAGAAATTTCTTCTGCTATTACTAAGATTTTGAGTCGACCCTGAGTATTCAAATTTTCATTGTCCTGATCAATGTAGGATCGAGATCAACAGGAATTAAATCTATGAAAATATGCCACCATTTTGAAGCTTTTTAAAATAGATAATAATGATTTGATACATGCAAACTCCTTGAGATGCGTAACTTTATTTTTGGATATCTGGGCCACCTGTGATATAAGCCGGCCTAAACAAGGCAACTGGTGATTTCATCTTAATCAGAAACACACCTAGCAGGCAATTATGGCAGCAGACACGGCTGCTATTCACTTAAGTGCAGATAAATTGCTTGTAGCTTTATTATTTACAATTGTTGGTCAGAGTCTCTGGATAGTCAAGGAGCTCTTTGTGCCTCATTCTAATCACTGAAGTAATGAAAGGAGATGCCTGCAGCAAGGACTGCAACTGCAAAGGCTGTGATCACACCTAAAAGTGAAAAAAAGAAAATGGATTTAGCAAAGGAAAGCCTTAATTTATCCTAGTGGTAAGATGTGGGTAACTGGTGAGCCTAAGCAACACATATATATTAAGTGTCAGAAAAGTCTTAGAGGCAAATAAAACAATGAGTAGAAAAATGAGATTGTGAAGGTTTAGAATGGTAACCATTTACTTGATCACTTTCGCATAATCTAAAAACAAAGAAACAAAAGGGCCTCTTGTGGTTAGCAATCCACTGCTTATCCTACAGTGTCACATCAGAACTTCATACATATGTATAGAGTAAATAAGGCATTAACACAGTTCTTTGGAATTGTTGTCTTTGAAGGTACCAATGATAATGTCTTATTTATAAATCATTTTATCTCTAGGGCCTGGCACTTTGTAGAATACTCAGTAACTCATTCACTTAACCCTTAAGTGCTTGGCTACTAGCTGAAAGGCTGGCAGTTCTAACTTACCATCCACAGGTACTTTGGAAGATAGGTCTAGCGGTTTGCTCCCAATAGATAACAGCCTTGAAAATCCTAAGGAGTACAGATCTACTCTGACACAATTAGGATAACCATGAGCCACAACTGACCTGACAGCAACTGACAGCAATAAAAAACATTTTTAAGAAAGAAAAATAAATGAAAATAACTTCTGTGAACATAACAATAAAACTCAAATCCAAACTATCAACTTCTCCATGTCAAAAAAGAAATAGAGTACTTACCTATGTTTTGCTGAATTTTCAATATTATTGTAGCTTTAATAGGTTGTTTTGGTTGTGCATCATCATCACCTGTGTTGTCCAAAGAAGCTTCACTATCCATAGAGGAACTCATATAAGCTGCAAGAGGATAGTAACAATATATATTATATGAGCAAAATAAACTATCTAGAACTGGTGTCTTAAGGAACATTTACAATCAAACTATTTTTCTTGCATTTGTCTTTTTCATAACAGTGAAGAATGTACTTATTTACATGTAGGATAGGAGAATTAAATAAAAAATGTCACACTGAAATAATTATCAAATATTGAATGTAGTGTTATAATTGACCTTGGAGTGTTGGTGTGGCATTTTAGGATAAGTTGATAAGCACTCAATTTAAAGATCGGATTGAACTGCAAAGTTGACAGTTCAAACCCACCAGTTGTTCCTCGGATACCCTCTATAGAGGGTCGCTATGAGTTGAAACCAACTCAACAGCACTTAATAACAACATAACTGACCTACACCAGAGGGACACAGAGTCACTTTTGAAAGAATTCCAGGAATGAATGAAACATATTTGTTGATAGTATGATGGTGGTGGTGGTGGTTATGTGCTGTGGAGTCAGTTCCAACTCATTAATAATCCAAATCAAACCAGACAATAGTAGGGTAAACTTTCTTCTTAATTGGGATTAGTTTAAATCATTTTTATTGGTCATTTTAGCAATTAAGAATTTCAAGTAAGTATAAAAAAGCAGAGTCCATAAGCTGTATGTACGCCATGGGTCAAATTTAGCTAGAGTGTTGTTTGTATTGTTCATGAGCTAAGAATAGCTTATAGTTTTTAAAGTTGTAATTGTAAAAGATTGTTATGTGTCCCACAGGCCCTAGAATAGTTACTATTTAGCCATATAAACAAAAAGTCTATCAATTCCTTATCTAACCTGAAATTTGAATAAACAGGCTAAGTAGGGCTAAAACTTAGACCTTAAAACAACTCTGAAGGTTAAGCAAGACAAGCACATTATACCCATTTTAAAGATGAAAAACTAAAATCGAGAAGGATTAAGTGCTTCTTCCACCTTTACTGTGCTGAAAGACTTAAATCAAGTTGGGTTTATGTGAACTCATTTACAAACATTTGCACAAAAACAACTTTAGAGAGCATCAAGGCTAGTGGCACTTTCTTTTCTTTTAATGTTGAAGAATCTTATAAAAATAAACTAAAACTTATAGGAAATTCCAGTAAGTAAAATAGATGAAAGTAGAACAGTTCTGGCTGAAGCAGGCATTGAGGGTTCCTGGAGTCCTATCTGCTGTCTCTCATCTCCCTAACCCTCAGAAACAGTGGAAGCTCTCCTCTACAAAACTCTAGAAGTCATTTGAAGGCAATTAGTTCATGCCTCTTTACTTACAAACAATTGAAGGATTTAATCAATGAGAAAACCAAACCAAAAAAGCCATTGCCACTAAGTTGATTCAGACTTATAGTGACACTATAGGACAGAGAATGCCCACATAGTTTCCAGAAGTAGATTATTATATTGTTCACCCATGGAGTCAGCTGGTGAGTTCCAGTTACCAATATTCTTATTAGAAATTGAGCAGTACACCACTGTGCCATCAGAGCTAAATGTTGTTAACTGCCATTGAATCAGCTCTGACTCATAGCGACCCTATGCACAAGAGAATGAAACACTGCCTAGTCCTGCACCGTCCTCATAATTGTTAGGTTTTTGCTGCTCTCTTTGGAGGTTTTCCTCTTTCCCTGATCCTCCATTTTACCAAGTATGATGTCTTTCTCCAGGGACTAATCTCTCCTGACATTATGTACGAATTATGAAAGATGGAAGTTTTCCCATGCTAGTTCCTACGGAGAATTCTGGCTGTACTTCTTCCAAGAGAGATTTGTTTGTTCTTCTGGCAGTCCATGGTACTTGTAATACTCTTCTCCATAACCACAGCTCAAATGCATCTATTCTTTTGTCAGGGCTAAACTGTTATTGCTCTTATGTGCCGTCAAGTAGGTTCCAACTCATAGTGACCCTGTATAGGGTTTCTGAGGAGTGGCTGGTGACCTTGAATCGCTGGCCTTGCAGTTCAAACTGACTTTGCAGTCCAGCACATTAACTAACACACAGCGCCATACCAGGACTTCCAGGGCTAAATACTACTGGTTAAACTCAAAGTGAAATAGCCTTTTAGTTAGATAAAAAATGTTCTTACAGATATCTTTTATACTGATATATTTGTACAGGCTCACACGGATACCATATAAACTTATTGACACAGACGTCAATAGTAGTAAAACGGTTGAAAGAAAAAGAATAAGAAATACACGCTTTTCATCAGTTTCTCATGAAGAAAAGTTTAATTTTCAGCTGACTTCAATAATCAGTAGTTACTAACTCAGGATCAAGGGCACAATCATTCTTTTTTTTTTTCCTACTGCACATTGCAGTATCAAATTATTTAAAACAACAACAAAAACTCTTTTCCTTCTGCTTCTACTCCACCAAATTAGTCATAAGGCCTACACATTTTTGTTCTAAGGTACCTGTAGGACTGTCCAATCTTTTCTATTTCCAGTTTTTCGTTTTCTCTAGGTCCTTAATACCTAAATTTTAGACTACATTAGCTCACCAGATTCAAATTTCTCCCAAGTTCTCTCTATAGGACTGCATATATAATTTATACTTTTGTTTTTAATAAAAACAGTTGGCTTTCTTACTAGCAACATCCCAACTAAAAATAATTTTAATCTTTAGGTCAAAATAAACTTTATTTAAATATTAAAAATTAATAAAATGCTAGATTAAGCATGAATTATACCTATTTGCTACAGGGTATGTTTAATTTGAGTACTAATATTTACAGATAAGCATAAAACATTTGTTTTGATATATTACTTACAAATGTAATTACTGAAATGCTATATGTATATATTATGCTATGTCAAGTATAAAAAAGGGAAGTGTTCTCAGCACAAATAATTTACTTCCATTAAAAAGGACATTCCACTGTTCTGCTTTATCTCTCACCCATCATGTCATGTCAACAATAAATGCTTCAGTATGTTCTGAAGTTTACATATGAATCAATAGAAAATTAAATCACAACCATTCTTTAATACCATTTAATTTAAGTTCAGGCAAATCCCAAATTATTCTTGTAAGATAACAAGCTTTTTGAGTAGCTGTCAAAAAAAAGAGAAAATAAGACCATGGTGAATGAGTGCAAAGTTGAAGACATGTTTAGATTTCATTCCAACCTGCTGATGGGTAGGCAGGTTGTTAAGACTTGAATTACTTAGTTGGTTTTCTTCTCCCCCATATATGTATTCTAAATTAATGAGTTTGCTTTAGTCATAAAATTGTATCTTCAATATTATTCCTTTTTTTGTTTGTAATTAAATTATCAATGTAATAAATGAACAAACAAACAAAAAAGTTAAATTCAGCTCTGATAGTGAGAAAGATATGGCAAAGTTACATACAAATTTTAGAGGTATGTATTCGATTTTTTTTGCTGACAGGGTGGGTAGAGTACCTGAATTATAAAGTCTATGTCTATTAGGAGATGACTAACGCATCTAAGAAATCTTAAAGCCAAGGTGATCCCTCATCTTAAGTGAGTCATTTTGACAAACAAATTGTTCTTCATCCCTTAAGTCATTTAAAAGTGTGTTATTTTAAGATACTTACTTGGCAAAATATACATTTTAAACATAGCAACAATAACAATATAGAACAGAAATAATCAAATAATGATGTCAAGTATTTAGAAAATAAAGCCAGATACTTAAAATTAACTTAACCTAAGTGTATAGTAACTGATTTCAATTTCTGAATTTGAAAAGTTAAACTCAACTTCTTAATGGTTCATTTTATTGGCGATCATAATTTCAAACAGAGAAATCTATGCACATTTATATAAAACATTATTTTCCACCTCAATGTTAATATTTTTCATTAAACAATTCTCACATCTACCCAAAGAGAACCTCGAGCTCAGTATTTATTAACGTTACCCACTGCCATCGAGCTGATTCCTACTCAAAGCGATCCAGTAGGGCAAAATAGATCTGCACCACAGTGTTCCCAAAGTTCTAATCTTTACACAAGCAGTTACATCTTTCTCCCGTGAAGAGGCTAATTAAGTTTGAACTGCTTAAAACTACTATACCACCAGGGCTCTTTCTGTTTAAGGTTACATAGCTGTAAGTGGCAGACACTCTAACAGTATCTTGGTATAATTATACAAAATACTATGTTTACGGAAAATGCTTTTTCTATGAAAATTTTTATATTTTCACCCCCTTTCCTACTTGGGAATGTGATACTTTTTCATTAGAATATATTTAATCATTAAATTATTGGTTCTAATTTAACACATACTTAATGAAACAAAGCCAAAATAATTTCAGTTAAGTCATATCCTTGGTTGAAACACATTTGACAGCAGTGTTCAATTCTTAAAAAGCCTGGAGTGACTTGACTGTATTCATACTTTACATCAACTCTGATTTCATATTCTCTGGGATGCCTTCCCTGAATCCCTTACGAGGATAATGCCTGTTCTGATAACTCTCTTTTCATTCCTCTAATACAGACCTCATTATCTGCTTTAGAATAACCTGTTTGTCTGAATTGACTACTACACTGTGAGCTATTTGAGGGGTTATACTTTGGTTCTAGAATACTAATTTCTAGTATATAGTTAGTTGGCAATCAACTAAGAGTAATTAATTAGTCAGCTAAGATTCATGTAAGTTTCAAAATTAAGGCAGAGTCCTGAAAGGATCATATCTACCACACTTGAAGTACTGTCTTCAATACATTATACAATATTAGAAAAATATAGAATACCATTTTGAAACTGTTTGATACTCATACACAAAGGTATACACACCTAAATTTTCCAAACGGTTGTTTTATTTCCTTTGTCCTTGCAATATTAATAAATCTCTTCCTACTCAGTTAATCCATCTCTACACTAGACTGCCAGCATAAAAAGAGAAATATAGACAGAAAATAACTTTTAGAATGTAGTATGAAACAGATACAACTAAATTCCAACACTGAAAGCTTATGAAAATAAAAATCTGCAACAAATAATCAATTAAAGTTTC